GAGACCCCTGTCTCTACTAAAAATAGAAAAAAACTAGCTGGGCATTGTGGCAGGTACCTGTAGTCCCAGCTACTTGAGAGGCTGAGGCAAAAGGAATACTCAAGCCTAAGAGTTTGAGGTTGCTGTGAGCTATGATGATGCCACAGCACTCTACCCAGGATGACAGAGTGAGCCTGTGTTTTAAAAAGAAAAAAAAAGACAGTAACGGTGTTGGCGAGGATGTGAACTGGGCACCCTCATAGGTTGTTGATGGGAATATAAAATAGTACAATCACTCTGGAAAATGGTCTGGCAATTTCTTAAAAATTTAAACAGAAACTCACCGTACCACCACTCATAGTTACCTGCCCAAGGGAAGTGAGAATAATCTTCACATAAGGACTTTCACGTTAATGTACCTAACAATCTTATTCCTAAAAACCCCAAAGGGAAACCGACTTGAATGTCCTCTATTCACCTGGTGCAGGAATACAATGAAATATAATTTAGCAACAAAAGGAGTGAAACACTGATGCCTGCCACAGCACTGAACCTTGAAAGCATTCTGCGTGTAAAAAGACAGAGGCAGTAGCCTACATATTATAACGACTCCTTTTATATAAGATGTCCAGAAAAGGCAAATTTATAAAGATAGAAAACGGACCAGGGGTTGCCTTGGAGCTGGGGTGGTGGTGGGGATTTGACTACACACAGATTTCTGGGTGATAGAAGTGTTCTAAAACTAGATTGTGGTGCTCGCTTCGGCAGCACGTGTACTAAAATTGGAACGATACAGAGAAGATTAGCATGGGCCCTGCGCAAGGATGACGCGCAAATTCATGAAGCGTTCCACGTTTTTCTTGTGAAAAATAATAATAAAAAAAAGCAACTAGATTGTGGTGGAACAACTTTATAAAATTACTGAAAAAAAAATTGTACATTTACCAAAGATGAAGAGCTTGCTTTGAACGGCTTTCAGAATAATATTTTAAGAACAGGGAAATTTGAAATTTAATACTTCAAAATAACCGTACAACAGAACAATTTGTAAAGACTCTTGGCTTTCAAATTACAACCAGATTGGTTCTCACTATATCCTCACCCTGACTGTGCTTACGTCAAAGGACAAGTTAAAAATAGTCATATATTTGAAAGGCACAAAATGAAATGAAACTGAATTACTATTACATATCTTTAAACAAAAAGAATGAAGCAGCAGAAGAGGGTGGGCCTCCTGGTTGGTTTTTATGTTTATGTGCTGCTACCTAGTGGTCATTCATAAAACAGCAGAACTTGGGGGTTTTTGTTTTGTTTTTAATCTTGGATTTGTTGAGCTGGGTTTGTATACTACACCAAAGAGCTAAATGCTTATCACCATATAGGTTAGCTATCTGAATCCCTAAATAATTTATGCTTTGTGAAAATACTGCAGTGGGAAGAACTGGATTGACAGTCTGGAAAAATGGCTTCTAGTCCCAGATCTGCTGGTGTCATCTTTGTGAGTTTGAGCCAGCAAAAAATTAATCTATGGGCCTATCTATCTGGTTCCAAAGTTTTAGCAGTGGTTCTGTAAAGTAGTGATTGGAAGCACGGCCTTGGTGCAAGCCCCTGAACTCCTCTGATCTTTAGTATCCTAACCTTGAAAATAGAGATATGACAATCTTGCTGTTAGGGTAGTTGTGAACTAAATGGTGACCAGGCTCATAAACATACTTACCTCCGAGAAAGTTAGACTGCGAGAACTTTGACTCTCAGCAGCACTTCACGGGCAACAATCCTTTATCTGTCAGTCACAGTTAGATACTCCTCCCCCTTCCATCCCCAAGCAGCAAGCAAAAAACCCCAGAGGTTTAGAAAACTAAATGTGACTCTCAGAAATGATCAGCTGATTTGAAAAACACAGTTGAACAAATGAATTTTTAAAATAATGTATAAAGATGAAGGTAGCATGGCAGCTAGAATGTTTATAACTTGAAGCTTGGAATTGCTGATTATTTTTAAATGATGGGGTAGTGACAGCGCCAGCCCATCTCCTCATTAACAGTTCTTCCAGGTGTCTGACAGGTTTAATATACGCCAACCAGCACGATGCAGGCCAGAGAAAGTATAATTCTTTCATTTTCCCAGGAATTAAAGTGACTGCACCACCCTGGATTTTATTCTATAGGTAAGAGAACTAGTTTGCTTAAGGATCAACACCATCTGAAACTAAGGGGTTTTTACAACCACTTTACTTTTTCACCCATTAGGAATTTTTTAGGAGGTCCATATACCTAGATGATTAGTTTTAGTTATTACTTCCCATGCGAACCTTTTAATATTGCTTACACAGTTTTAAAAACACCTTTATTAGGGTATAATTTAGATGTCACAGAATTTACCTGTTTATACTAGTGTCACTTTTTAAAACCAATTCACCTATTAAAAATGTAAAGTCCTGGCTCGGCACCTGTGGCTCAAGTGGCTAAGGCACCAGCCACATACACCTAAGGTGGTGGGTTTGAATCCAGCCCGGACCCACCAAACAACAATGACGGCTGCAACCAAAAAATGGCTGGGCATTGTGGCGGGCGCCTGTGGTCCCTGCTACTTGGGAGGCTGGGGCAGGAGACTCACCTGAGCCCAGGAGTTGGAGGTTGCTGTGAGCTGTGATGCCACGGCACTCTACCCAGGGGGATAGCTTGAGGCTCTGTCTCCAAAAAAAAAAAAAAAGTAAAGTCCTGAGTCTGAGTAAATTTATACAATTGTGCAGTCATTATAATCTAATTTTAGAACAATTCCAACATATACTTTGCTTTTGACCAGCCCCATATGGAAATAATTTATTAGATCATTAGCCAGTGCATTTTAAAGGAACTAGATCTAAGACCTAGACTTGGCGTTCATTTTGAATAAATCAAGCTTTAAGAAAAAATAAATCCTCAACTTTACTCAAAATAGAAATCCATTGAACATGTTCTCCAACTTTCCGAAGGTCTGTAAGAATACAAACTTAAAATGTAAATATTAAAAATACACATACCACTAATGTATTTTGAAAAATTATGGCGTATAATTTATTGTACTTTTTGTCAGTAGGCATTAATTTAAAAAAATGTTTCTAGTTGCAACTATCTTTCACCCAATGTCAAACTTACTTTTTTCACTTTTATAAATATGTGAAAGTTGGATAAATCATCTAGGGATTAAACATTTTGATCTAGCATATCCCAAATTTATGGAAAAATATTTCTCCTTCTATGATTTGATTGTGCACACTTTTATGGGTTTGGCCTGAGATACTGGCTTTGAGACTAATAGAAGAAGAACTTTTTCCTTAAGGTGATATTTAAGAGATGCTGATTTTATCTTGTTTCAATATATTATTCAAAATAGAATTAATTATCATGCCCCTTTTCTTGCAAATCCAGTATTTGTGGTATACTTCTCTTAATGCACCTTCTATTAAACATGTACATAAAAACTTCTCAATTGCAAAAATTACAATTTGGAAATAATGAAAATATTTCTACCTGTTTATGCTAATTTTTTTGTTCCTATCTTATCTTTATCTAAGTTTCAGAAGGATAGTTATGTATAATCTAGTTTCACTTTGAAAATTCCACCTATATCTTTCTCTAGCCCTAGAAGTTCCTGCTAATTCTATCCATTTTGACATTTAAATACTGTTTTAAATTGCTATTTAAATATTCAATTTGTACTCGTTCATTCCTCTCCAAATATTAAGCTGCTTGTGTTTAGCATAGTTGTTTTAAACTTTATGTGTGTGAATAAATAAATTTTGTATTTCTCAAGCACCAGATCCACACAGGGCATGTAAAAAGCTATTTAATAAGTATTGTTTAATTAATAAATTATATCTCAGGTTTGTCTCCCCTTCTCTGGACCCCCATAACACATTTATCATATAGCCCGGATTTCCTAGACATTACAATTTTTCTGTTCTACTGTCCCCAAAAGAACAGTTGCAGGTGTCACACCATATGTCTGGGACATATGGTTCTCAATAGCTGTAATATGAAGCTATAAATCTGATATCTACTTCTTCCTTTTTGCTAATAGATTTGATTGCAATTTCAAATATAGTTCCGTTTCATTATTTAACTTACGTATTTTAAAATCCAGAAGCATATTAGTAGAAAAAATTTGGCAATATAACATACTATATGCAACATACATAAAGTAAAATTCGCCTTTACCCAAGGTAATCAACCCCCCACCCCCCCGCCCGTCACGCCCCCGCTCCATCCTGCTTTGTTCCGACTTTGCCACAAGTCAGGGCTTCCACACCGAGAGCCTAGAGAACCCCAGGGCACGACAGGAGGCAGCTGCGCGGCCAAATGGCACTGAGTGGCATGGAGACCCGCGCACCTGCTCGTAGATCGCCCACTCGCTAACTCTTTGACCTTGGGTGAGTGTCTCAGACTGCTGACTCCCAGAATCGTCCATAAAATGCTACCTTTCTCCCCAGGTTGTTGAGCAAGAAGAGACAGGTAATGGGTAAGCACTGGGCAAATTTTAAAGAGTCGTGGATCCCAGAGAAATCTTTCCGCATGCTCTGTTTTATAGCCTAGTCAATTCACCGCCGCTCCGGCACTGCAGATGCAGCTGCTCCGCCAGCAGTGGCGCCCGGGATCACAGGTGCTGCCAACTTCCAAGCTCTCAGCCGCTTGTAACTGGCGCTCCCTCTAGGGCTGCCTCTAGGTCTTAACTGCAGTTGCCCGGGTCACAGTCTCGCGCCTCCCTCTTCCAGGACCTGCGAATCGAAGCTTCCCTTTCTCCGGAAACCCGTCAACCTCTAAACCACCCTCCGCCCTCAGCCACATCCCAGGCGGCAAAAGCCGGGTTCTCCACGCCCACTCGCTTCATATTTGATTTCGGCGCGCGCCGAACCTGAGGGTGGCTGTGATTGGTTGGAGGTGAGCAAACTTCCTATATGATTGGCTTGTAATAGCTAAGGGAGGGTAATACAACAGGAGATGAATGATGATTGGTTCCTAAATAAAGGAGGCGGAGTAAAAGGCGGAAGCCGAAGTTGGGGGCGGGGAGAGAGGAGGAGGTACGTGATGGAAGTAGTTAGGTGCCCGGAGCACGGTAAGTGGCCAGGGTCTTAGGTTCCCCAAAGGCCTGTCTATCTAGTGAGGTGCAGTCGTTGACTTGCTTCTCTTCTTAGGGACTTTCTGCTTTCTGAAGACTGGCCTCCGCGATGGCCCGAATAAAGGAAAGAGCTTCTACGTGTGCCGGGCGGACACGTGCGGCTTCGTGCGGGCCACCGAGTAGGTCTCGAGCAGCCCACGCCGCGGGGACCAGGAGGAATGTTGGGGCTCTCCCTGGTCTGCATTGTCAGACGCTTTGAGCGATTGGTAATGTCAGGGCAGCGCGGCGAGTTAGGAAGGCGCTCCGCTGTTCTGGCTGTGCGACCCCGAGGCTGCTTACTGTCTCTCTCTGGGCCGCCGATTCCCCCACCTGTAAAATGGAGGATCCCGCTGCATCTGGATCCTTTTGGTGTTTTCCAACTCTGGGTTTATAGTCCCCTGCCAGGCTTTAGTCACTCCCTTTTCCTGCTGGAACAGAAATGAGGACACACGGACAGTATAAAATTATTTGGCTCGAGACACATTGTGTTAGCCTAAAAATATATATATATATATATATATATATTCTCTGCATTTAAGTGATGAGATAGATAATTCAGAGAAATATGTTACTTTAGGCATTACTGCTGAAAGGAACATTAGAGATCTGATTTAGAATTTTAAGTTGAGACCTAAAAATGTAAAGCATCTTTTCTAAAGTGAGGAAAGTTAATACTGTCTCATCAAGTGTTAATATTTTCACAACACCAGGTATCTACGTTTTTTATATGAATTTAAAATTATCATATCATTACACTTTTTTTTTCCTGCTCTGTTTGCTGAACTCGATAGCGAAGTTATTTCTCTCCATATCCTATGTAAAGTACACAATGGATATCAGTACTAGAAGAGTATCCTTGGAACATACATACTAACTTCTCATGTTTCCCTTCCATGACTGTTGGTATCTTTCTTTGCTTTGAAACTGAGCAAAAGCCCTTGTGTCCTTTTTCAGATTTAGAAAATAAATTTTGACAGAAATGTTGTCTTAGCCCTCTAAGTTTTTTTTCTTTGAAAGAGATTACTGGGATCCAGTTTAATTAAATACAAACCAATCCTGGTAAAGCAGTATGAAATGTTAAGATAGAAGATACCAATCGAAAATACTCAAGCTATCTAGTTCAGCAATATAGCATTATATCAGGGTTCACTGGTTCTGGTTTCTAAAGATACTGAGCCTCTGTGATTCCAGACCCAAGTCAACTGTTGTTGAGCTGCAGGCATATTTAGGTTTGCAGGAATTAAGCATAAATATTGAATAAGATTCTGGTTTACATTAAGAGAAACATGCTCTTATATAAGGTCCCGTTTATATAAACATATTGCTACACAAACTAGTCGAATACTTGAAGAGAATTATTTGACAAACTTGATTTATTTGGAATATGTTTGATAACCAGAATACAGGCCAAAATGGAGAGTACTTTAGAACTTCATTCAGACCTGTTTCCCTCAGTTGTTATATATTTAAGTTTTTTCATGATAACTTAGAGGAGGTGGTTGAAAACGTATGCCAAGCAAGAAGCACATTATTAGAATGTGTTGTTAAAAGTAGGCGTATGAATAACACTAAGTGATAACTAACAGGGTCTTAAAGGGAACGGGTGATGAAGAAATAGATGAAATTTATAGAGGTCCTCACAGCCAGCCTTGGATACTTCATTCATTTATAGGGGTATCACGGTGTATCACATCGCGCCGTGTAGTTTTAAACTTTTGAGTCATCAAGAAAACTATATTATCCCTTTTTATTTGAGGGAATAGGAGATGGTGAAACCTAAGGACTTTTCTGAAAGGAATTCACAAAGAACAATGTATAGCATTTACAAATCAAGTGGATGTCATACAGAGAGACTCTTGGTTTAAAACCCAGAGTTTTGACTGCATTTAGGATATTGACCTCTGTTCATTGTCTCTTAAAACAAAATTTTTTCCGTTTCGTTCTCTAGCACTCCGGTTTCTCATTGTTTATTGCATGAAGGCTGCGTGGTAGAGCTTCAGGGTTTGCTTCTGCCACAGGGCAAGAAAGAGCACAGGTAAGTGTCCGAAAGGGACACCTAAATATACTTGCTTTTTTTTTTTCCTCAAAGAGTTGCAACTGGATATGTGTTAGGATTGTTCTTTAAAAGTCATTATTAAAAAACAAAACAGTATTTCTCTGTGTATTGAGTATCTTCTGGGCTGTTGCTCCCTAACTGCTGAGCACCTAATTCATCAGAGATGCCTGACCTGTGGTTAATTTCTAGGTAAATAGCTCCACCATCAGCCCTCTCCAGCTCTCAAATAGCCAGTAACATCAGCCCAGCAGTAGTCACTAACTTGTCAACTTTCTAATTCTGGTCCTAGAACAAGGTAATGCGTAAAAATGTCTAACATATGTTTAGTACTCAATAAATGATAGTTTCCCCTCCTTTACGTGGGGATTTGGGAAGGGCAGAGAAGTCTGTTTAGATGGGTATTTAGTCTGTATTTGCCATGGGTATTGCAAGATAAGTGGGGATTCACTCATGTTAGCAAGGGGTCATATTTAATGGGTTAATATATTAGACGTGAAGTAATGCGGTATTTTCATGTATTACAAGTATTTGGTTTGCTGACAGCTTAGCATATTGTTTAAGTGGGGATTTCAGGAGAAAAGGCTGCCCAGGAAGGTAGGAGCCAGGATGTGATGGTCCCTGAATGGTATTCTGTGCACTTCAGAATTATACTATATTCTAGATCCTCCCTCCAACCATCCCCCCCCAATAAAGACAGTGGAGTGTCACTTTCACGGTTCTTACCTAGCAAGTTCAACCAGATGGATTTTGAGAAATGTATACACCTGCCTATATAAGCAAAATCCAAGGCAAAATATTATTCCAGTGAGAGCCTGGGTGATATTTTGAATTACTCTTCTAGTTAATTCTGCCCCTCTCATCCCTAACCCCCCTATCAGCAATCACCATTTTGATTCTTACCACTTTAGATTATGTTTTGCTTGTTTTTGAACTTCATATAACTGAAATCATACTGTATATGGATTCTTTTATGTCTTATTTCTTTTACTTAATAGTGCCTATGAAATTTTTCTATATCCTATGTATCAGTAGTTCATCCTTTTCATTGCTGAGTTAAATTCCATTTGTAAATATACCACTGTTTTATGTGTTCATTTGCTATGAGAAAATTTTGAAGTCTTTGTTTAAATCTTTTGCCCATTTTTTAATTTTTATTAATTTATTTATGTATGTGTGTATGTATTTGTTTTTTGAGATGGAGTCTTACTTTCTTGCCTCTGGTAGAGTGTCATAGTTCAGATCAGTCTCAAACTCTTGGGTTCAAGTGATCCTCTTGCCTTAGCCTCCCAAGTAGCTAAGACGACAGGCACCCACCACGACACCTGGCTAATTATCTTTTTTTTTTTTTTTTTTAGAGACAAGGTCTGGGTCTTGCTCAGGCTGGTTTCGAACTTGTGAGCTCAAGGGATCCACCTGCCTCAGCCTCCCAGAGTGCTGGGATTACAGGCATAAGCCACTGTGCCCATTTTTTTTAATTAAAATTTTTATCAAGTAATTTTAGATTCATAGGCAGTTGTAAAAAATAATACAGAGAGATCCCCTATAGACCTAACCCATTTTCCCCAATGGTCACATTTGCAAAACTTTTTTTTTTTTTTTAGAGACAGAGTCTTACTTTGATGCCCTCAGTCGAGTGCTGTGGCATTACAGCTCACAGCAACCTCCAGCTCTTGGGCTTAGGCAATTCTCTTGCCTCAGCTTCCCGAGTAAGTGGGACTACAGGTGCCTGCCACAAGGCCTGGCTGTTTTTTTTTTTGTTGTTGCAGTTTGGCTGGGGTTGGCTTCGAACCCACCACCCTTGGTATATGGGGCCAGCGCCCTACTCACTGAGCCATAGGCGCCGCCCTGCAAAACTTAGTATAATATCACAAACAGGATGTTGATATTGGTACAATCCACTGATTTTATTGGTAAGGAAAATTTTATTTCTACTAATGTATGTGTGTATGATTTAGTTCTATGCAGTTTTATCTACATGTGGACTTATGTGTCTGCTACTCCAGTTCAGATACTGAATAATTCCATCATCACAGGGATGGAACTTCTGTTGCTTCTTATAACTATACCCACTTTCCTCCCCATCCATCCTCCTCACCCCTGACAACCATGAATCTGGTCTTTATTTCTAAAATGTTGTCAATTCAAAATTATTACATAAATAGGATTTTTGCTTTTTTAAAAATTTTTGTTTGTCTTTTTATTATTGAGTTGGAAGAGTTCTTTGTATATTGTCTATACAAGTTCTTTGGCAGATATTTGTCTTGTGACTAGAGTAGAACCTCTGTAAGTTGACCACGCATGGGACTGTAACACACTGGTCAACATAAGGAACTCGGCTTGCTGTACTGATGAAAGTCAGGTCAGCTTAAGGAGCTACCGTGTTCCCCCAAAAATAAGACACTGTCTTATATTTATTTTTTCTCTTATTTCTGAAAATAAGACACACTAGGGCTTATTTTCAGGGGATGTCTTATTTTTATTAAGTATAATACAACAATCTACATTTATTCAAATACAGTTAAGTCATTCTTCTAGAACCTGACAGGGGGAGCCGACCTTGGTGGGGCTGGCGCCAGTGATGTGTGAACTCCTTTCCCCTTGCCGTTTGCACGTGTGCAATAGGATGCCTGCCACTGTGGTTACCACACGCACACCTGTGCAACTGTGAATGGCTTGGAGAAAGGAGCTGTGGCAGATAAAAGGTATTCCAGTCTTCCTTACTGCTCAGCGCCAAAATGCAGGGCGTGGCTACGCAGTGTATCTGCACTAGGTCTTATTATCAGGGTAGGGCTTATATTTAACAAATGCATAGAAATCCTGCTAGGGCTTATTTTGGGGGTAGGTCTTATTTTCTGGGAAAAACAGTAGTTAACTGTGGAGGTTCTACTGTATTTTATTCTAGTCTGTGGTTTTCATGTTATTAACAGTTTTTTGAAAAGCAGAAGTTTTTAATTTTTATGAAGTCCAGTTTATTATTTTCTCATAGTTTGTCCTTTTTGTCTTCTCTGCAGTAAAGCTTTGCCTACCCCAAGATTGCAAATGTCTCCAAAGTGTCTTCTACAATCCTTACAGCTGTTTTGTTTTTTAAAAAAATAACTTTTTAATTTAAATCTGTGATTCAAATTAATTTTGAATGTTGTGTGAGGTAGAATAGAGGTTCTTTTTTTTTTTTGTATATTAACCAATTGTTGTAGCACTGTGTTTTGCGATTTTCCTTTCTCTACTGAAATGCTTGGCATCTTTGTAAAAAAAGATCAATGGCTCCCATATTATGGGTCTATTTCTGGGCTTGCCAATCTGTTCCATTGATCCATTTCTCTATCCTTAAGTAATTAATGAAATAAAATAGTATGAGCCTTCCAACTTCATTCCTTTTCATGATTGTGTTGGCTGCTCTAGGATCATTGTGTTTTCATGTAAGATAGAGAATCAGCTTTTCTGATTTCCACAGAAAACCTCATTGATACTCTATTGCGCCTAGAGGATGGAGAGAACATGCATCTGCAAAACTTAGTATAGTATCACAAACAGGATGCATCTGGAGAGAGCCATCATTAGCACTGAGTCTTCTGGGCTCAGTGTCTCATGCCTGCAATCCCTGTACTTCGGAGGCTGAGATGGGAGAGGATTGCTTGAGCCCAGGAGTTGGAGGCTGCAGCAAACTATGCTTATATATCACTGCACTCTAGCCTGGGCAAGAGATGGGACCCTGTCTCTTAAAAAAAAAAATTAAATAAAAGAAAGAATAGAAAAAGAAAAATACTGTTTTCCAATCCATGAACATGGTTTTTTTCATTTATGACTTTAAAAATGTCTCAGCATTGTTTAATATTTTTTATCATAGAGTTCCAATGCACCTTTCGTTACGTTTATTCCTCACTGTTTATGTTTTTTGGTGATGTAATAAATGGAATTTTAAATTTCATCTTTGATTGCTTTCTGCTGGTGCAGTGGGGCTGCTAAGCCTTTATTGTGTAAAGTGGTTATATCCTCCTGATACGTAAAACCATTTACATACTACTGGGGACCCACATACTATTGGGGACCCTCGACCACACAGAAGAAACACTATTGTAGGTGGTAGGAAGTTACTGAAGGATTTTTGATCCAATTTCCATTAAAAGAAGACATATGGAGGACAGATGGAAAGTAAAGATAGTAGAAGCGAAAGGACCACAGAAATAACAGCTGCTGTTGGACGCCTGCTGCATGGCACGCTCATTACCTCGTTTCTTCATGTAATCTGTTGTGATAGGTTTTCATATTCCTGCTTTTCATACATATGAGGAAACTACCTTTGAGAGAGGTTGGAAAAGGAATCTGAAGCCTCAAGGTTATAAAGGAGCATTGCTGGGATTTGATCCTTGGTTCCAGCTGCTTCCAGGCACACCTGCTTTCTCTTCCATGAAAGATGATGGATTGAATTGAGGTTGGGCAGTGGAGTTGGGCACAGCTAGAGTAGAGCAAACTTGCTAAAAGAGAGTTGATAAGCTGCGTTTCTTCCTCGGCTTTCTCATCTGGAGTAGCGATCGTAGTGGCCCCCACTTCCCTGGTTGGAGGGTTCAGAGAGATAATGCGTGTGGGGCACTTAGTCTAGTGCTGACACACTGCTCAGCAGGGGAGTGGGGGCTGAGTGGGGGTTTCTGGGGATGTGTTTACATAAGGAAAAACTATGTGAGAAGAGGACTGGATGGAAGGCTCACACGCACGGCTCTGATCAACCTCTGATCAACTCTGATCAGCGGCTCTGATCAGTCCTGTCTGCTGTAGATGTGAAACCAGCTAGAAAGTGAGTGCAGCTCTGAGCAAGGGTCTGGCTGAAGACGGAACTCTGAGAACTTGTCATTAACATTCTTTATACGAGGTAGATGAAACTGAGAAGTGACCATTACTTTAAAATAGAAAAATAAGTATACTAAATGTATTTCTTTTAGCCAAAATCTAGAACACTGTTTTATTTTTGTTTTTGAGCCAGGGTC